CTCGTCCAAGCAGTCACTGCAGGGTCAGCAATGACTGAGCGCAGACAAATAATAATAATAACCAGTACAACTGTGCAATGTAGGGAAATAAACCTTGGGTTCCACCAAGGTTTCTAATTGATTATTTTTTTTCTAAACCATCTCAAAGGTATTTTTTTCTACCTTTGTACCCATGTATTTTTAAATTTTATTTTTATTACTTTTAAAATAATAACAGAAAAAGAGAAAAACAAAAGGAAATAAAACACAAAGGTACATACATTGTCAAACAAAAAAATGCATAACAAGTGCTTTAAAAAAGTGAAAAAATACAACAGATAAAAGAAATAAGAAATCAAGTATATTGTTATAACAGTAAACAGTTACAATTCTATATATACTTATCTAATGCAAATATTATGCAAGTATGTATATATTTATTTCTAATACACTGATACAACTATCATGCTTTTTTCAACCTACTGTCTTTTGCATAAATGAGTCCCATATTTCATTATATTTGTCCATACAAAGTCTATGTCTATTGGCAATCTGCTCATAGGTGGCAAGTGTAATCAGGTCTTCAATCCATTGAGTGAAAGGGGCCAAACATTTATCTTTCCAATCCCGCAATATCAGTCTTTTAGCAATAATAAGGGCACAGAAAATCATTTATGTTGTCCAGTTGTCAGATTCCATGTACTAGGTATGTAACTCAAGAGAATATTATCCTCTGAAAATTTTAGCTTTTGTTGCACAGTCACATTTATATAGTCCACTACTTTCTCCCAAAATTTAGTAAGTATAGGACACTGTAAAACGTGTGTTTTAAAGAAACATTGTCCTTATTACATCTCCAACAAAATGCTGTCTTCGACAGTCTTTTTCTGTACTAATGTAGGAGTCCAATAAATTCTAAATATTATTTTTTCTTGTATAAGTCATAATTTAAGGTCCATTGACACTCTTGCTATAGAAATTAAGACACTCTCTCATTGCCTAGGCAATATAGGGATCTCTAATTATTTATTCCACTCATCTCTCTGCATCTGCATATTAAATTGATTTATTGATAACAAATATCTATAAAAACTAATAGTAGGTTTTTTAATTTTAAAGGATTTAACAAGTTTTTCTAGTATCTCAGGTGTCTCAGAACCTGAAAATGCTGCTGGTCCAGACAATGTTGTTAACAAATATTGTAGCTGTAAATATTGCCATTGGGTTACATGATAGATAGATGATATTTATCTCTTAACACAGAACATGTTAAAAATTCATCCTCATCATCTATCAATTGGTCCAAAGTCAATGCCCCTGCTTCCATCCAATTTTTCCACATCACCATCTTTTCCCCAATTTTTAATGTTGGGTTTCCCCATAAAGTCAGTTTAGCAGAGTCGAATCTTCTTTTTATTAAACACTATATTCTATAGCTTTCTACCTGACGTAATTGGTTCCAGAGAAACTAGACTTCTATTGTATTTAGTTCGTAATACTGTCCATCCAACCAAAGGCACTACATATGTATATTCCAAAGTTGCTCAAATTAGAAAATTAACACCAATTGTTGGCTTCCAGTACTTGATACTTGGCAATAGGTAAACTTGATGATACAGCTCCAGATCTGGAAAACTGAATCCTCCCCCATTAACTTTTAGTTGCATTCTCTGTAAAGATGTTCTCGGAATCGAAGAACCCCATAAAAAATTTCTAAACAAGGAATTTATTTTCTGAAAATATTTTCCAGATATATGAACTGGAATTCCTCTCAGAATATAAATTTAAAGATGTTCTCGGAATCGAAGAACCCCATAAAAAATTTCTAAACAAGGAATTTATTTTCTGAAAATATTTTCCAGATATATGAACTGGAATTCCTCTCAGAATATAAATTAATCTGGGAATAATATTCATTTTGAGAGCATTCACCTTTCCCCAAAGGGTGAGATTTAATGACTCCCATCTATTAATATCTGAATGAATCTCTGTATATACTTTATTTATAGTACATGCTACTAACTGAGTTATATCCTTTGGTATTTTTTTTTTTTTTT